GGCATCTTCCATCCATTTTCAAGCTTTGCACATAAAAGAAGAAATGAAGTTTGCATACTTAAGGTGATTATGGAAAAAGAATGGACTGAAGGAGATAAAAATTGACCAAGTTATGTTCTAAGAGAAGCATGTATTTGGAATCACTTAAAAACCTCAAAAGATGAACAAGATATAGCCCTTAGAAGTTCAAAACCCTAGCTTCTAAAGCACCAAAATGATTTGGAAACCCCTTTCAATTTTGACAAATTTTCTTGCACAATTACTTTTTCCATGTGAATAGAAGTTGTTGAGGATGATAATAAGAAACCATAACAACAATAAACATTTCCAAATATTAAGAATATAAGGAATCATGTACTTGTGATCAAGGAATCAAAAACTTGTTCAAATAGGTCAAACTTCTCCAATCAACCTTTGCATCCTTTGACTTTCTTTGACAAATTGAGGTATGATGAATCATAGTATACTTTGTCATGATATTTCTTTGAAGTGCTCTCAATGTTGAAGCTTGAATCTCAATGAAGTTTTGTTGAAGAAGTCATGGGCACAAACTCATACACCTATAAATCCATCTGATGAGATGTGTTGTGCATTCACCTATAAGACCATCAATTAGAGAAAACATTCATTTTATTTGTTAGTTAAAAGTTAATCAACATAAGTCAAATATGACCATAATATACAAATTAAGGTTCTTGGTGATTCCTTATGGGCAAACCTAAAGATGGGGAGAAAAACCCAAACCCAATTGTGATATTGATGTGATTGAGTTGATATGAGATGATAGAGGAATCTTAGAGACAAAAATTGGGGTACAACACCAGGCCACTGCTTTCCTTGTTAACATATAACGTGTGCATGAAAATATATGGGGTTCAAGTTACTGAATGTGTAAAACAGAAACAAAAAATAGAAAAAAGGGGGTTCACACTGGTTCGAACTCACGCCCTTAGTGTCAAACAAAGGCTTAACGCGTACGCTTCAACCACTGGGGTAGTTATACACCGGTGTATCAAACCATGCCCAATAAATTAAGTAATAAAATGAGAGTTTAAAAATGAAGATGGCACCACCATCTTCATCTTCTTCGTGAACGAGCAACAACAACAACAACATCCATGGCAAAAATTGCAACTTCTTCAATTCTCAACCATTTGCAAAGATGTAAGAATCAAAATCACTCGGAATTTAACAAGGATTTTAAATATGCAAACATCATTAGTCAACATAGACTATAACTCATGAATTTTAACCTGAACATAAATCCTAGAAAAAAATTCAGAGACACGAAACTCAGCATACAAGCATGATTCAACCCAAAAAAAGATAGGGCTAAGCATCAATGCGTCATGGACTACATTTTTGATTCAGAATGTATGCCTTAAAAATGCGTGAATGAGGAGTTCAAAGTTTGAATTTAATTACCTATTGGAGAAATTCCAATTGTTTTTCTACTGCTCCCAGAAGATGAAGAATGATCCATTTAGCTTGTATGGAATTCCAAGAACATATTGCAAATGATAGCTCCTCTTGAAACCATCCCAAACTTCACAACCAAGTCAAGTTGCAAGCATGAATGGCCACGGGTAGCTTAGAGCAATGGGGTGCTCCAGTGATGATCTAATGCATACAGTAGTGCCTATTTGGTGTATCGATGGTGAATTGATGATTAGATTGCAAGGATATTGCAAGGGTTATGAGTTTTGAAGGTAAGGCTCTTCAAAGTTCAAAATGGAGTTTTTTGGGCAATTATGAGTTTTGAAGGTAAGGCTCTTCAAAGTTCAAAATGGAGTTTTTTGGGCAATTATGAGTTTGAGAGAGTTTTGGGAGGTTTTGGAGTCAGTTCAAGGTGTGTATTGCAAGTGAGAATTGATCTACACTTATAGGAGAGCTTGAAGAGTTGAGGCTGACCAGTTTGAGACATAAGGTTATGAGACTTGGTTTAAATGCAACTTGGTTTAAATGCAACTTGAAGTTTCTTGCACATACATGGTTCCCGTGCAAAGTACAACTCCTCTAGAGTGGTTGAGATATTTTAAAGGTGTTGCTTCTGATGTTGGTGTTGTGAGTGGGCAAAGGAAACCACTACAAAGCTCAATGCATGGATTTTGTGCAAAAATCATGCTTTTCCAAAATGACAATGGTGTCTTTCTTTTCTAAACGGCAAGTAGAAATGGACAAAGCTTGAAACACTTGGATAATGGTTCAAAAATTTGTGTAATCTTCAGATCATAGATAAATTTAGAAGTTAAGAGGTCTGAAAAGTGGGGTTGCATATCATAGTTTGGAGATTTGGTTATGAACTTGTCACAAAAATGACCTATAATGCAATCTTGGACACCCAACTTCATATGTTCGACTCTCTTTGCTGAAACATGATAAATTTGTGTTCTTGAACATTTTAGAAATCTTGAAAAATTATCTACAACTTTCATGTTGAACACATTCCTTGAATCAGATGGGATCTTGGTGAAAAATGTCTTACAATTTTGATACTTTGGACTGAAATAAATACTTCAAAATTTTTCTAAGTGTTTGAGATTTTGACAATTTGAGGTGCTAACTTCATTAATTCATATCTTCAAATCTATGCATTTTTTGGAGATCAACCCTCAATGACAAAGTTGTAGTATGCAACATTCTCTTCAATTTGAGCATTGGATCAAGAAAAATGGTTGCTTGATGAAGAAGTTACAAGTTTACAAAGTTGTGTACTTGAACATGAATTTTTAAAAGAGTGAATTTTCCAAAATCCAAATCTTTGATCTTTGATATTTGATTCTTTCTCTTGATTTACTTCAATGAACTTGATCAAATGACTTCATTAAAGATATTTTCATGATCCTTGGCTTGAGAAGTCCATGGTTGACCAAAAATTTCAAAAAGGCAAAGTTTGACTTTACAATTGACTTTGTACCAGATTAATCAAAATTGTCTAATTTCAATGAAAACCCTTGATTATGGTGCAACCCTAAATATTTTGAGATGTCTTTGAAGTTTATAAGATGGTGATATCATGAAGCCTTGAGTGATACACAGTTGGAGACCTCAACCCCTAATTCTTGATTTTCATCTAGGGGACTAAAATCCTAGTTACTTTATGAATTCCAAGAAACACTAATATGATGAAGCTGTGGTGAAGATCATAAGTATTTCATCACCATGAATGAGGGGATTGAATATCTGAGGAACACATGCTCTTTGATCAACCAATTTTTGGATATTCTAACCTATCTTGCACAAGCAACAAACAAACATATCTTTGCAATCTCATAGGATTAGTCGATGCAAATATGAATGAGATGATCTTTTAGTATTATGCAAATGATGCAAAAGGAGGTAAGATCTTAGGTCAAAAGTTAGTGAACAACATACCCAATCACCCCTTTTTAATTAGTCCTTTTATTGCAACTTTCAGTCGGATGCAATGTTTGATTTATAGTCGTGACTCGTATGAAAATGACAGTACTTAAAATTATCTGTCCGGAAAGATTTCCTAACCGGATATAGGTTTTTGATTCCGACTTCTTTGAATTTTGTATTTGCACACTCCTTCCCGAATTTCTCTCTTAAAATATTCAGAGGAGTGTAAGCATCAAATCTCAATTGAGGGTCGTATTCTCCGGTTGGATCCGGTGTTCCCTATTTCTCAATTGACTCCTATGAACAAATTTTTTTCCAGTTGATGTATGGTTGCATCCTGCTTAACAAATCCTTTAGGCTACGAAACAAGACTATCCTAGTGACAAAATTATTGGTTTGAGATTTGTGTACATTATCTTTGTCATATGTGGCTACAATCAAATTCTATCTCTTCCACCGTTTTTTAACTTCAATTAGTTACTATTAGAATTCTATTTTTCATAAAACTACTATACAAAATGTAGTACGATGCTGTCAGTGTGGTTAAAATATCTATCTACAAATAGTGTTTTGTTCATACGTATGGGACCTGAGTAGTAGCATTCTACACTCTCCTGAGCCATTTTGTCCTCTTAATTTGTCTTCTTTAGATGTCTCGAAAGAAATCACGTGAATCAGTGAATGTCTTATATGTCTGTTATTAGCCTGTAATCTATCTTCTTCCATGACTTTTTTGTTGTTGTAAGTTTTAATGAGGACCACCTTAATAATGCAGGTTCAAGTTGAGGAGTATTTACAAGTTATTAAAAATTATATTGGCCATAGACGTTTTTCAGTTGTAAAAATTAACCGTTCCTTATCTTTAAAATTAGTAACTTGTTGGAAGTCAATTCAACAAAAGTTAGGACAAATGAGCTATTTATTGCTTAAACCCAATACATATCCTTTTCTTTTAAATTGCGGGTGTAATTGTGAATGTTGCGATTGCGTTGTTGCGATGTGCATTGTGACCGTTACAGCGTAAATTTTGATTAACAAATGTTTTAAATACAATGTCGAAAAACATGTAATATTAATATTTTTCATTATAATTATGTATTTGGGTTCTAAAAGTATTATATTTGATGAAAATACTTCAAAAAACATATATGAAACGGTATGAAGTGGTTTATAATATAGTTGGGACGCTTGATTTAAAATTGCACCGCAATTGCGATCTGATACAGTTTCGGAGACTACGACATCCGTAATATTGCAGTGCAGCTGCAATTTGTGGTTGTGGATTTAAAACCATGATCATAACATCTAATCTAATGTTGAAGTCTTAATGCATTTCCTTAAACTTAAAACTAAATATCAAGAGTTTATTTTTTTACTTTCAGTGTATAACTATTAGACTATTTTTTTTTAAATATGTAGACGAAATAGTAATAAACTCACTTACTATCGTGAGTATCAGAATTCAAATTTTATAAAGGATCTTTGATATTCTAAGGCAATCCTTCTTTTCAACCTTAATTACTATTTACTACACAAAACGTATAGACAGCTGCAGCTATATACTGATCCATTGCACAGTCTATACTCACACATTTGTCTCTCTTTTCTCACTCTTGGTTTGTGTGCTGTTTTATTACATGTCCATGACACCAACTTATCGTTATTCACTATCTTCTCCTCCTATGCCTTTTGATCTTACTAACAATGAAGATCACAATCATCATCTCTTCAATACAAATATTCATCAACCCTCTTCTTCATCTTCTTTTTCATATTCCACACTTTTCAACCAAAATCAAGATCAAGCACACTCTTATTCTTCTGAACCAAATCACATACAAAGTGATACAGAGGTAACTACACATACATAATACAGTACAAAATTGTGCTTATACAAAGTTGTGTAAATTTTATTATGTAGAAATTTATTTTTTGTTCTAATCTTTTAGGTTGCGAAGCTGGTTCCTTCTTGTGGATCAGGATCATGTGATCGTCAAGAAGAAAAGAAAGACAACGGGAATGAAGAATTTGAAGCCGAGGATAGTGGTTCAACGAAGTGGATGCCATCAAAGAAGAGAATAATTAAGAGAATGATGGAAGATCAAAGGGTTTCTGAGCACAAATTTGAAAAAGAAAAAATATTATCACGTGTAGAAACCTATAATAGTAGCAACAACAATGGCTCAAACAACAGTAATATGATTGTTAGGGTTTGTAGTGATTGCCACACAACTAAGACCCCTCTATGGAGAGGTGGACCAGCAGGCCCTAAGGTACATGGTCACGGATTATTTCTTCTACAAATTATTTAATTGTTACATGGTGCATTAATATGAAATTTTCAATTATCTAACTAGGGTTATAAACTAACCCTTGAAAAAAATACAAACATATGTTGGTGTAACAGTCTCTCTGCAATGCCTGCGGGATTCGACAAAGAAAAGCGCGGCGCGCACTTGCAGCAGCTGCATCTGCAGATGATGAGATTCACGTGGCTTCTAAGAAACCTTATGTGAAGGGAAAGAAGTTGCAAATCAAAAGGAAAAGGTCAAAAACTGATGAATGTGCACCACCACATTTGAAAAAGAAGGGTAAAATCGGAAACAGTTGTACTAGTTTTGAAGATTTGATAACAATTTTGAGTAACAACTTGGCTTCTCATCAAGTTTTTCCTCAAGATGAGAAAGAGGCTGCTATTCTACTCATGGCTTTGTCTTATGGCTTACTTCATGAATTTGAATCCTAATGGTTGCTTTGATTTATGAGATAATAAGTTATATTAGAATAATTTGTATGAGATTAATGTTTCATACTTTAGGGAAAGAGGCTATTGGAGATAAAGATTGTTGGGAAATTTTTTATGATAGGGACCATAAAGGTATTGGAAGGGTACATGTGTGGTTTTATTAATTATGTTGGAATTGAGCTTGTAGACAAAACACAACGTATGTCTCTTGTCTTGTATGATCGTACAATTCTCTAATAGCCATTCAATAAAATTATTACAAGGGTAGTTTATGATTTACTAATTACTTTTGAATATTATTGTTAATTCTATTTATAGCTCTGCGTTGCATTTTTTGGGTTGGTGTACGGCATTATTTTTTGGATTGGTGCAAGGCATTTTATAGTAAAAATATTATGATAACCTTTTTTTTAATAGCAACGAAACATATATATATATATATATATATATATATATATATATATATATATATATATATATATATATATATATATATATATATATATATATATATATATATATATATATATATATATATATATATATATATATATATATATATATATATATATATATATATATATATAAACATAAAGGAGAAATAATAGTTATTAAAGATACAAGAGACACAAGTAGAACCAAATCAAATATTTGAGTTCGAGTGGTAAATGAGCTTATGTTAAAGAACAAATATTCAATTTTTGGTGGAGGTTGAGTTTAAATGAGCTAATTAACTTCTCTTCTCAAGAATTGATCTCGAGAGTATTCAATAATGTTTATAAACTTTTTGTTGGAATAATATAGCAAGTGTGAGTAAGTGGGGAAATAGTCCCACATTGGATAGAAATGTGAAGACTTAAGCATATATAATTGGGAGAATCCACTCACCTATCACCTTAAGGTTTTAGGTGGATAAGTGGTATGTCAATCTCCCCCCAGTTCACGAACCCCCTTATATAAGGAACAGTAAAGTTTTAGATTTATTTCCAACCAAACAACGAATAATGGACTGAAACGGTTAGTCTTTCTTTTAAACATGAATGTAACTTTGAACGGTTAGTCTCCAAGCTTAAATCGAGATTTTGCACGGCCTTATCTGGAACTAAGGTGGAGTTTTGAACTGACTATCTTCCAAACTGAATTGAGGTTTTACACAGGTTGACTACAAACCGGATCGAAATTTTACATCAGGCTGATCTCGAATTAAATTGAGTTTTACGCTGGACTGAACTCAAGAACTAATAATAAGGTTTTTCACTTGTTATCTTTTAGAACTCGGGAAGAGATTTTTTTGCATAAGTGGATCAACTCACAAACCAAGCGGACACCTAATACTAAATCTTCCAACAAAAGCTTTTAAAATGTTTAGCTTCAAGCCCAAACAAATACTTTATAAAGAAGAAATATTCATTCAAGAGAAAAAAAGAGCTCTTATTGAATTTATAATATTATCCTTTCAAAAATATTTTCCTCATTTAAACATAAGAACCTTTCTCAAAGCAATATGGCCAAATTTATCTATATCACTTTACGAAAACGCCCATGTGTTTTTACAAAACACTGATCACTCAGATACGATCAAGTGAGCTTTCACACTTTAAAGTTTCAAGTCTTTATTCCCAATACACCAATCATATAAGGACTTTTCTTGAATCTTCTTGGAGACGAGGCATGATATATCTTCAAGTCGGATGCTATCATCAAATAATATCACAATGATCATTAAACCCCAACTCTTCGACTTTATTCATATGAATAGCTTGAATAAAAAATTTGTGTATCTTTAACTACTTAAATTACTAGCCAGTCTTTAAGGTCAAGTAACATCTCTATGAGTTGACATTAAAGTCTCATCAAAGTTAGGTTTCATTTTCACATGTTGTCATCATTGAAACCATGATAGATCTTGGCGTGCCTAATGTAACACCCTAAAACCCCAAAACATGATTTGTAAAGATAAATCATAATTAGGATGTTACCTCAACAAAACATGCATATATTATTCATGTAATTTTAACTAAATTGCGGTGGAACATCCAAGGAAATAAAGTTTTGTTCACAGCTCAATAAAATATAAGTGTCTCATTCCCTAATGTTACAGAATCATAACATTATTCTGACTAAATAGAAAACAAATAAATGCAAAGAGGGCCACAAAGCCATCTTCCAAGCTCACGAGCTATCACTCCTGCCAATTACCTGTACAAACATTGTACAAAGGCATTCAACAAACAAAGGAAAGGTGTGCGAATAAGCTTTAAAATAATAACAGTGAAAGTCAACAACAAGATGATAAAAATAAAGATCGATGTAGCATTAATAATGAAAAAGAAACACAATCACAAATCACGATAATAATCTCAAGCACAATAACATTTCATATTTATATTAAATGCTAAGCACACCAACTCCTACATTTATAAGCATGTGGTACCGGGTTTTTGGAATATCAGAGATTTATTACTGATTCATCCATGATCTTTGGTCCCTCACTTGAACCAATGATTCCAACAATGAATCTGAGACCTGCTTCTAGTTCTTCAACTAAACCAACGATTCCACGAAATGAATTTGAGGCCACCATTGAACCGAAATCGTACCTATATCTAAAATATATGTATGCATGATAATATGAACAAACAAACATGCATTTCACCAAAGATTCATTTTAACAATAGCCACCAAAAGTCATTTTTAACATTAATCACCAAGAATTGATTTCATATATGAACCAAACATTTCAAATAAACAAGCCACCAAAATAGTCTCACCAGACTACTAATCACAACAACATTATTTGTTCACCAATCATCAAACCCTAACACAGTCAAAATTACTTTAAAAGGTTGTAAGGGTCCCTAAAGGGTCATCTAAAAGTTCAAAACATCAAAAATTATATAAAAATCAACGACGAGCTCCCGAACTCAAAAATTCCAAAAACAACTTGAATCTGTCGAGCCATAGAAATCACTGTCACGGCCACACACGGCCGCGCGAATAATTCTTTAACTCGGCAACAACCCTTGTTGCAGTCACCTGCCGTCGCGACTTGATTTTTCAGCGGCCTTCGTCGCCGACACCGTATGCCGCGACATCTTTGATGCACGACTAGATTTTTCTAGTGGTCATCGTCTCTGATATTGCATGATGGATTTTTATACGTGCAATTTTGAATTTTTCAAAAGTCCTGATTTATATCGGTCTTTTTGAAAAAAAAAGATTTTTTTTGAAAAGAAATGGTTTTTGGACATTTTAGGATACAATAAGTTTTTCTGACATTTTTTGAAAAAACAATGTTTTTATGATTATTTCACTGAAAAGGAAAAATTACAAACATTACCCAAAAAGGGGATTCAATCCTATCGCTTCACCATCATCACACAAAAAATCACCAAACAACATACCTTTTCCCAACAAGTTATACTACTACTATTTGCACGTATACCAACAAAATTCATACTATCATTGTTAGACAGTGTGGCAAGTGATCGAGAGGGGGGTGAATAGATCACTTCTTCTTTTTCAAGGATTTAAAATTGTTTTATCAAAGAGATTTGAAAGCAGCGAAAATCAATGTCCTGAATCAATTCCGTCTACTTTGAACCGTCTACTAGAAAACTTGACATGTGAAAACTTTGCTGGATTTTTATTAAATGAAATGGATGAATGTACAACTCAGAAATCTTGACGTTTCAATGCACTTATCATAAAACAGTATTTCCAATGAATTTAGAAATTTGATAGAAATTTTGTCAAACACTTGGCGTATGCTTGTATAATGATTTAATAGTGGTGGTTTGGTGAAAATGTTTGAGCCATTATGTTTATCATTAGACTGTAAAACTTAGCACGCCAATTAAATTGAAAAATTATAGAATAAGTAAAATTGTAAAGAGAAAGAAAGAGAGAACGATACACAGGCAGTTTGGTAAGGAAGTTCCCCACTATCGTCCTCGCGTGTGGGTACGTCTCCCTCTCAATTTCACAATCGAAACTAAGAACTTTTATATCAATATGCTGAATGTTTGATAGCAAGGTTACACTACACAGAAAGACATAAATCCCTATGATTTTCTTCTTCTTGTAAGAACCACCACTTGATAAGAGCTGTATCAAGATTCCCTGCAAAGTCACCGAATGATCCTCCACTTCCACTACCTGTTTGTTCAAAATCCTTCTGATTTCTAAACCCCTCGCTACGGCTAAATCCGACTCGCGCGACCGTGACTGACAAAACCCTCAAGAACACACCCGTTCTTGAAGGACAAACCCTCTGGTTTATTTCTTGAAGCTTCCTATTCAACCTTCAATTCAGCTAGACTTCTTCAGTACACAGCTGAACGTTATCTCAAACCGTTTGATTCAATTCAACAAGGATGTTTGATTTTCTTTGTTGTTGTTGAATGTAAGATGGTTGAGAAGATGATGAAGATGAAGGAATGAAACACTTCTGGTTGCTCACAATTGTTTTGCACACAATCTTCTATGTTGCTATCCTTTCTTCTAAAGAAATGCTTGCTTATATTTATAACAGAAAACGGTTAGTCAAAAAGAAAGTGATATGAGTCGATGCATGTTGGTCATGTGTCGACTCATGTTAGTTATATGTAACAGGATGAGTTGATACATTATGTTTTGAGTCGATACAAAATCATGTTATAGTGTTTTACAGAACCAACACTTTTATACCCATCGACACATAATGCGTATGTGCCGATACATACTGATTGTAAATTTAACTTTTGAATTTAAAACATAGTATGAGTCGACACATGATATTATGTATTGATACATATAAGTTTCAAAACTTTTTCCAGGATCATCAAAATGTTTTGTTTCGATACATACTGATTATAAATTTAACTTTTGAGTTAAAAACATAGTATGAGTCGACACATGATATTATGTATCGATACATATAAGTTTCAAAATGTTTTCCAGGATCATCAGAATGTTTTGTATCGATACATAAGGTTTTGTGTCGATTCATACAAGTATTA